GAACAAGAATGCCATGTTGGTCTTTTGCTTAACAGTTAAAAAATTTCAGAGAATATGTTGTACTTGTACTTTCATAAAATATAACTTCTATGATTTCGATGATTTATCTTACTACACATACTTAGAATTCAATACAAAAGAAGTTTAAATGATTTCCGTTTCAAGTCTCATGTTTCTTCTTTGTTTCCCAGGGCACTGGGAAGCTACGGGCACTGATTTCTGGTGAGTCATTCATTCCCAGTAAGATTTCTGAGTCTACATGAATCAAACTACTGAAATAAAGTGTGTAGAGAAAGAATGGATTAAGGCGCCATTTTGTGTTGGGTTCTGTAATTGCATGTTTAATGTAAGAGAAATAAGAACGATAATCACTAATTATGACTGGGTGGATTGATGTATCTGCTCCCAAGGGCTCTCTTGGCTCTTCTGATGCATCTGGAAATGGCAATCTCCTCCAGAGAGGGCAGAGAGCATCTGATGATCTTCTGTGATGTGTGTATGACCCTCTGCAGTAAGTAATGACACTCTCGATTGTGGCACGGTAGAAGGACACAAGCAGCTTCTGGTTCAGTCTGTTTTTACTGAGGATTCGCAGGAAGTACAGACACTGTATCATCTTCACTGCCATCACCCGTGTATTCTCCAACCATGACGGATCATTTGAGATCATAATCAGAAGGAGGCCATTGTCTCTACCCAGTCTCCATTCATGTAGAGAGGGGTATAATCCTCTGCAGTCTTACCTCCTTGGTTTTTGTGGTGTTTAGAAGCAGATTGTTGGCGGCACACCACTCTGTCAGCAGCCACAGCCCCTCTGTGTAACCAGCCTCTTCCCCCTTTGTGATGATGTGTAAGTTCAATAAGGAAGATCTTCAGTCACACATCTGTGTGCTTCCCAAGTACTGGCAGCTAATCTAAGCTTTAGATCATTTCCACTTTCCCATGCCATCAAGCTGGTTGTGACATAGCTGGTCTAGTCCAATCATCTTTCTGCTGGTTTTTTTCAGGCCAGTCAGCCTTCACATATACTTCAAATGTCACTGCATATCTGTCATTCTTCCTTGCAGACACCATCATGCAACTAATAGTATAAATACAGTATGAGGAACTAGCAGTAAACCACATAACTAGACTAGTTTGTGTGGTTTAAGTCTATTCACTCACAGGCATGGCTGCTCATCTCATCATGTTTCTCCTCTTCATTGTACTTAAAGGTCAGTCATAGAAATAATTTAATTACCTTGTGTTTCAACAGCAAATGATAAAATTAATGAATAGTTTTTTTATTGGCACTTTCATACTTGCTAATGTTCAAATGTGTGTAGATGTATAATAGACAAATCACATGAAGGAATAATATTTAATTAAAGATAACCAGTTTAAGTAAATATAATCATTAAAGTACTTTATTTGTTCTTGTTGCAGGAGATCACAGCTTAACTACAGTCAGTCAAGTATCAGTGAAAGCTGGAGAATCTATCTCCATCCCATGTCTTTATGACTCCCAGTACGAAAATGATCTCAAATATCTGTGTAAAGGATACTATTATCGAGAATGCACATATGCAGTAAAAACAAACCAGCCAGGCCAGTCAGGAAAATATTCAATCTCTGATGACAAAAAACAAAGAATCTTCACTGTGACTATTAAAAAATTAAACGCAGATCAGGACAGTCATTACTGGTGTGCTGTGGAGATTCCTGGGATATGGAAAGATGTGAGAGTCTATTTTCATCTGTCTGTCACCAGGGGTAAGAATCCATAAGTACATTCAAGTACATTTCAAATAAGCCAAAATATTAGGAAAGACTTGGTTGTAATATTAGAATTACTCTGTCAGTCAAGATATAAGAAGAATAAACATGATTTAAAAACTGCTCAAGAAGCTATAAATGTAAAGTAGAAGACTAGTAACAACTCACTACTTGTTCTCCATCAAGGTCCACCCAGTTTCTATGTGGATCATCAGGATATTACAGGGTTTAATGGAGGAAACATCACCGTCAAGTTTTACAGTACACAAACTGGGAAAATAAAGTGGTGCAAGTTGGGCGGCGAGTGTGTAACACAGCCAACTGGATCAATAGATGGAACAAGAGTGAGCATTAATAAAAGTGCCCACAATGTTTTCACTGTCACCATGAGTCGAGTGACCACGAAGAGCAGCGGCTGGTACTTATGTTATAAAGGAGACCTCCAGGTGCCAGTGCATTTAACTGTGAATGAAACTTTCACACCCAGTAAGTACAACAACTCTGAACCTGAAATATGTTTGCATGAATATTCCACATGCATGATGATTAGCAATGCTTTGATGTGATATTAGAAAATGTTATTCAGTTCGTTCTTGCTCGTAGCCTCAGTCATTCGTCACTGAATCTCACAGTTTTTCTTTGTTTATTCATTCATTGTCTTTCCCAGATAAAACAAGTATTAAAGATCAGGATGAGCAACCAAGGTCAAAAGGACTGCACTGACATGCACTAGCTATACAACTGTGGTTACACGCTATGTATTTATTGCCATTATGTGAAAACTTTGACCTATGGAAATGATAATTGTTTGTTTTTCTTCCACAGTGGTTCCCTAACAGTTCTCATCATCTCTTTGACTTTGTTGATCTTCTTTGTAACAGTGAGCTTGGTCATTTGGTTTTTGCTCAAAAGATCCAGTAAGTTTGCGCTCACCGTTGATGAAGCCAATTCGTTCTTCTTACATAATTTAACGTTAAATGTTGACAACACTGCAGACGCGCTTTGAGAGTAAGTTCTTGTTTCTCTTTCAGAATGGACCAAAAGAGAATCATCAGGGACGGCACTGGTATGTGATGCTAATTCATTATGAATTCATTTTGTTTTTTAATTAATTTTTCATTATTTAAGAACAAGAATAATCTGGTAAGAAAAACCAAGTATTCTTTGTAGATGCAGTAGTGCAATACAGCTGCAGCACATGAATAAATGGTAATCATATCACGTAAATAACTTCCTTAATAATGGATATCTGTTGCATTACGGTTTCTCTTTTGGACACAGGCTCATGAGGAAGTGTATATGTCTGTTAAACATAGAAAAAAAATTGGTTCCCTAGTTACAAAAAATGAACACTTACAGAGTGAGGAGAATCCCATTTACAGCAGCAAATGCAGAAGTGAAACATAAATGTGACAAACATAGAGGAAAGGACTATATCCAATCCTGCTGCAATAAAGAGCTGTGGTTAACGGTTGTTACTGGCACTGTAAAACAAAGTGGGAAATCATATTTTTCATGTGTTTCACACCAGCTAGAGTATGGAGTGTAAATTTAAAAATAACATTAAACTTTACTGTTGCTCTGCTTCCATGTGTGATATACTTACTAATAACGTTAAAGAAACTTGTATGTTCTGTTTGGAGATTTTGTCCAATAATTATTATAGATCATAGGACTGATAAATATTCACAGATGTTGCCCCTTGAAAAAGGATATACAAAGAAAACACATCTAATAGCTGTATTGGGTAAAACACATTATATATTCCATTTTTTAAAAGAATACATATCTTCCATCAAATTTATGTATATTTAATATTTGAATGTGATAGGAAGTCTTAAAGTGCTAGTATCTCATCTCATACTCTAACTTCTCAGTCCACATATTCCCCTTGAAAGGGAACTATTCATGTGAAGTGTCTCAACCTTAGTAAATTGCCACATTTGGTCTAGTGCACACTGTTAAAAAAAAGTTCCTCTTTAAAATTGTATATTGATATCAGTTATCAGAGGGACTAAGATACAGTGAACAGTGTATGTAAGAAAAGTTCAGAAGTGACAACTATAAACATTCACAAACATAATGTTACACGCAAGTAATTTCTTATTTTACTACACGTGCTTGTAATTGGATAAAAAAAGGTTTAAAGTCTGTTTTGATCTGTTTCATATCTGTCTCTTCTTTCTTTCTCAGAGTTTCACTGCTAAATGCGATGTGGATGTGACATACAGCTCTGTGTTTACTATGACTCAACAAACCACACAAAGGGTGCGTTATAAGAGCTCCGTATCACAATGTTTCTCAGACATTAAAACTTCTTTTTTTACATCGTCACCACACAAACAGCATGGCTCAGTCTTAGTGTCTTAATCCTAGTCTAGACCACTGCTTTAATTCAGACCAAATACTGTAAATATTAGCAACACGTTCAACTCTAAATCTTCAGTGCTATATCAGTAGCACTACTGTGAAAAGGATCAAAGCTTAAAGAATGCAGACACTCGCTTGTTTATCGGTTGCACTAAAAGTCATTCATAAGCGAGTGCTATTGTTCTGTTTGTTTAGACTGAAATATTAAATAGCTAGATGACTGAATACTTTTCTCTGTAGCCTAAAAGGTAATAATTCCTCTTTTCATCTAGATCAGATTAAACCTTTTTAGTAATTTGTGATCAGGGCTGGAAAAAGCATTTGCATTGCCATCAGCTGTTTAGTGTTAACAAATGCTGGCATGTATGAATGCTGAATTTAGATGGTAAATAAAGTGACCATAACATATAAACACTGTATAGTTCTCTCTTTAGTTTAAGCATCACATGCTTACTTAAGCATGCATTCCAAGAGCTGATGTTGCGATATCCTCTGGTCTAGCTCATCTTTACTCATTCTGCCTAAATCTCATCTTTGCTTCTGTTCTCCCACAGACTGAAAGAGGAGCAGAAGATGTTACATACAGCACTTTGGCTGACTACCAAGCTCAGAGCACCTAATTATTGGATGGTTTAAAATGAGTTATAATAATTTGTCAGTTTGTGCTTTGTTTGCTAACTACAGCCCAGTTGATGTGTTTCAGGCATCAGATTTTTTTTTTTTACCATATTTCTCAGTTCAGGTCACATTCCCTGATCAGAGACTAATAACTAGGTAACTACAGAACAAACGTCTGTGCAAACATGCAAGAAACCAGTTATTTATTCTACTCAGGACGATCTGTGCTTCCCTCACACTGAGGCATGCAGCAGCGCTTGTATGAAAATAATAATAATAAATTTGCCGCAGAGGCAAGTCAAATATCTGGGTTATTATCTCAAAATTTCAAGTCACTGGCTCAAACTTCTCAACAAGCCAAATTTTTGAGATAGCCTGGAAATGTAACTTATGGATATAATTTTTTTTACTGGTGGAAACAAGCTTCTATAGGGAAACGACACAAAAACTGAGATTTTAAAAGCTCAATAGTAACTCAGTGGTTAGTAGCCATACTCAGGAAATTATTTTTTTAAAAAAATCAATGTATTTCTTTTGTAACTGACACAGCATTTACCAACCATTTACTAGTGCTATTGTAATCATAGATAGGCTGAATTAGTGATATATATCTCATATATATGCTTTTGAGACGCTTATTTTATTTTTTGTACAGTATAGATAAATTGATTTTTTTTTCTTCACTTTTAAGTGAAACTGTTACAATCTAAAAGTAAAATATATTTTATTTCCCATAATTTGAAACATATCAATAAAACCAGATGTTTTAGGTGTAGTGCATACTATTAGAAGGATACAATTGCATGTTAATTAATATCAGTATGTCATCAGCATTCACTAACTTCTATGTTCTTTGTAGGTTCATCTTTATTGTATTACAAAATGTGCCAATTTTTAAGTAAAACAACCTTCACACCACATAGTGATTCTGGCTTTTGTTTGATTTCCATCCACCCTTCTTCTACTGCCCCTATGGATTTTTTCCAGTAAAAAGACCAGAACAGCTCTCCTGGGACACATCCAGGAAGCATCTTTTCACAGAGGAGCTGAGCCCTTTACAAATTGCACAACTCCTCACCCCATCTCAAAGTGTGAGCCCCACTACACGCAACAAGACAAGAGAAAACTACAGGACTCAGAAACTATTTACAGCTTTGGAAGGTGGAACAAGGAGGATAAACACAACATTAGGCAACTGGTTTATTTTGGTGGCTAAACACTCAATACTATTCACAAAAATCTGCATACGCCCTTTCAATGTGGCAGAACAGAAAAATTACACTATTATGGTGGGCAGACATGAACTGCTTCACCCATGAGTATCCAATTCAGTTCCTGAGTTATGGAGTTGAAAAGTAGCAATAAAAAGGGCATGATGTCAGAACTTCATCAGAAAATCCTCCTGTGTGAAAACAGTCACTGAAAACGTGAGCAAGCATTAAAACTAACACATTTTAACTAATGCTTCAAAGCACAATCTCCATTCCTTCAAAATTCTCACTATGAAAATCTGTTTTTTTACTTTAGACATCTACAGGATAAAATAATACAGGGGGGATACCTGAAACCAAGTTACACAATGTTTATCCCGTCTCAGCACAGGACACATTTTAATCATAAATCAGTGTAGACTGCAAAGTGTTTAAAAAAATTTAAAAAAAAAGGACAAAATGAGTGACTATAACGATTATTGGGTAATTTGTTTATGTTGGACAAACATTTGGAAATGCATTAATCCACCAACTACATATATATATATTTTTCTTCAAGTCTGTACATTAAAAGTAAATACAAAAAAAAGGAGAAATAAAACCTGTTTCAAGCTGGAACAGCTTAAAATGAGTATGAGTATGCTTGTACCATTGCATTCATTTGTTACTGGCTGCTGGTTCTCCACAAAAAAAACAACAACCAAAAAAAAAAAAAAAAAAAAAAAAAAAAAAAAAATGGCATCTCGTCCGATTGTAAAATAGTTTCAATTTTTGCAGCTACTGCATCAGGGGACGTTCAGTCAGAGTCGCACTCAAGCTGTTCTCTGTGTTTCATCTCCAAAAACTTTGCCATGTGCTCCAGTCGTGACGAACCTCGGTATATCCACTCCTTATGTTCATTCTCCTATGAGAAAAAGACTTAATTAATAAAGCAACTAAGTAACTAATTAAAGGAAAAGAACCAGCAGCTGCTCATGCTACACATCAGATCCTAGTAGATGCAACTATGCTATCAATTTCAAAATCCTACTTCGCCTTATTTTCAAGTCATCTAATTCATGTGATTTTCTGAAAACTTCACCTCTGCCCTTTAGGTAGTGGTCACTAAGATTCTTATTTGTCACTGATTTTTAGCAGACGCACCTATCGCATCAATTTTATGTTTCTATGTATATAAGAAATTGAAATAGCAATACAAGTATAGCCTACAGCAGTGATAAATTATTTTATTTCTGACTTTAAAAAAAAAAAAGCATATTGATGCAGATGTTTGTAAGAATGTGCCAACCATCTACAAGCAGATGCCACAAATATCAAATATTTTTCCACTAAGACACTAACTAAATATTTTCAACAAATTCTCTCAAGCGTGAACTTTTGCTTTGAAAGAGAACACAGACCCAGTTTCTCCCATGTTTGAATAGTTGGATAGTGCTTGCATCTTCCATGCAAACTACTGGCGACTACAGCATCTTTGCAAATCCAAGGATAGGGTGACAAATTTATCTAGCAACCTCCAGAAACCACTCACCAACCAGCTGCAGAATACACATCTCTCTTTAGTGAATCAAAGAACAGTTTATAAGCCTGCAAGATCAGAGTTAAAGCAATCGATTTCACAGCCTGCCAGCAACCATCTGCCAACTGGTTGGGGTATACATGCTTTTTCCTAGCGATCAGTGGTTGCTAAATCATCGACTGATCTCTAAGGCCTGTGTGACTGGAGCAACTCCGTCTCCATAAAGCAGTGTCAGTGTCTCAATTTTATCTATTATATCTTGTATAAAACTTTACCTTGAAAAAATTACCTGTGAATGCTTTGTGTTAGTATTGTTCTAGATTCATAAATGTTATAAAATATAAAATTCAGCTGAAAATCAATTATAAAAATTTTTAAACTAAAAGATAAATGAAATACTGACCTGAAAGATAACCTGCATTAAGCTGCAGTCAATAATCTGCACTTCACACTTTTGCAGGACTCCGTTCAATTCAGCATTAAGGGTCTGTCCAAGCCTGTACTGGGTTAACTGAGGGTACGGCCACTTATTCAGGTAATGTTCTATGAAGTCTTTGTGAGGGCCCTCTGGAATGTCATCTGCAACGTTTTCCACTTTCAAACAGAATTAAAAAGAAGAAAGAAAAAGTTGGTTACTCGTTTTATGTGTCTAAGAGCTGTACAGTCAGTAAATAAAAACACTTGACAGGATTTCTGAGTATATGAATATGAACGCCCCACCCCAAAGTATAAAAACAATTCAACTTACAAGGTTTCCAAACCAAATGAATTAAAGGTAACCCAACATAGACCGGCGTGTGATCATCCAAAAAGATCAAGAACCTGGAATTGTAAAATATGTTAGCATCAAGTCAAACTTCTAGCGTTAGCAGTTCCTAACAGAAAATCTTGGCTAAACAGTCAAATCTGATTGCACAGCACGCTATAAATTTATTGGGTTAACCATGGCCAAAAGGGTACACAAAAGTTTTCTAGCAATTTTAATCATAAAATTGAAATAAACACCTTAAGCGGTTCTTTCTGCTGGGCAGCTCGCCTACGACACCAGGCTGGAACCGGTACTTGTTATCTTGACACTGAATCACCACACGGGCACCAACATACAGCTGCTCCACCTTTGCTGTGCTGTCAAAAGCAACGTGGTGTCCAGATACTAGACTCTTCCCTTTTTCTTCAAAACTGACTTTGTATTTTAACCGTCCGTCTTCTGCAAAAAGAGGGGGAAAAAAAAGACCAATTTTCACTTCAGTTTTATCAATTTATTTTAGTTCATCATCTCTTAACATTTTTGACTAAAATTTGGTTTAAAAAAATATTTTCAGAGAAGCAAAACTTTGAAAATTCTTTCTGCACTCAGCTCACTATGCCTACCTTGCTTCACCTGGCATCTAATCTCATCATGTCACATGTTTTTAAAAATCAGTCAAATGACAGCAAATGCACTTTACTTTTGCTATTTAAGGACAGGCAAACAAATTTCAGGTGCACTGCTTCCACCTTGTGGTGGTAGTGGTGCCTTACATATACCCAGCCACCAGAAAAACAAAATATACAAAAATTGTCTTTTCCAAACTCATTCATTGCCATTAATGTGTACTGTTGTTCTTATGTCTAAGGAAAATGACGCTGTGACAAGGGAAAAAAAAAAAAAAAAACTTTCAATTTCTACTGAGCATAAGATGAATCACATTTTTGCTGGGCCTAGAGTAAAAACCTCAAAAGCATTCACAAAAACAGAGGAGAGAGAAAAGAACAAAACACATCAGAAGATATTTCAAATCTCTAGATCATCTGAAACTAAATACAATTAACAGTTATCAATTACTTTCAGCCTTTTCTAATGCAGGATTTTGAATCAACTTTTTTCAATGCATGAATTCTTTCAAACATTACTGTAATATCTGGCAGAATTTTCTCTTACCCCTTGTAACTATCTCGACTATTTTCCCCCGTTGCCACCTCATAGGTCTTCTCCTAGCCAGAACTACCATGTTCAATTTGAGTTCATCCTTCGGTGCCTCAGGTCGGGCAGTTATTATTTCCTTGGAGGATTGGCCAAACACTGATGATATTATAACAGGAGCCACATCTGCCGTTGTGGGGGGGAGAACACAAATGTTTAAAATTCTTTAAACCACTGCTGTTCATCTGTAAAGAGAAGTTACGCTAATTTTATGGTGTCTGTGACCTTACCATTGGTGCTGGTGCTTGGAGGTGAAGCAGGTGGTGGTGTTCTGTCGCTCTCACTGCATTTGTTCATTCTTGCAGGTTTCTGTGTACTGTTAGAGGGTGAAAAATCTGAATCACTGGAATCAACTTCTGGCTCCCACTGCATATCAGAATCAGAGCTGCTGAGAGACTCATCTTCACTGTAGAACTGCTGAGGCGTTGGTGGTCGCAGAGATCTGACCTTATATTCAGGAAGTCTAGTCAACACTACCACTGGCTTTTTAAATGGTCTGGGACAGTCCAAGCCATTTTGGCATAGTTTCCTCTTTCTGGCAGTTTCATTTACACAGCAAACTGAGTCATTTGGAGACTCAAACGTATGTTCTGCAAAGAAAAACACATATGTGTAAAATGTGATGTGCAATTAAGACAAAAAAAAAATACAAAATCAAAACTAAACTAAAGGGGAGGTGTGCGCCTGGTGGTCGGGCCTTGGCCCATTAGATCTGGCCGGGAGCAGTCCGAAGCAGGGATAAGTCCAAACTTTGGACTATAAATTTTTTTTGGCAAATGGTCAAGTGGAAGGCTCAAAGTGATATAACAACAACATACTTACTTTCATCCTCACATTCATAATCCAACAGGTTTTCTTCTGTCTTCAAGGACTCCTCACATTCATAATCCAACAGGTTTTCTTCTGTCTTCAAGGACTCCTGAAGTAACAATGTTTTTGTCTCCAACTGATCCACAGTCATAATCATAGCCATGGCCACTATAACAAAAATCAAACATTGGAGCTTTCAGTCATTTATTAGAGCTTCTGTACAAAGATACGTGTAAACAGAAGAGTTGCTGCCCCAAGGGGAGAAGTAACTTCTGCAGTGTTGCGGATTCTGTATTGGCCTTCGTGGTGAAGAGAGAGCACAGCATAGACGCAAAGCTGTCAATTCACTATCTATGACCATACCTTCACCTATGGTCACGAGCTGTGAGTAGTGAACTTTGCTATCCCCAAAGGTCAGCTGGACTTTCCCTTTGCAAATGACTGAACTCCTCACCCTTTCAACAGGGACAGTAGGGCCACTACTCCTTCGCACCAAAAGGCACCAGTTAAAGTGGTTCAGGCATCTAACCAGTTCCCCTCCTGAATGAGGTGAGGTGATCTGGGCATATCCTACCAGGAAGTGCCCTCGAAGGTAGTCCCACAACCTCCTAATTACATCTCTAGCCTGACCCGGTATTGCCCCAGGTGACCTGAAGGAGGTGGTGTAGTACATGTGGTCGGTCTGGGCCCAGGACTGAATAAACGACATAAAATGAATAGACTATCTGACACAAGAGTTTATTATGAGCACCTTGGGGTTCTCTTGTATCTGCTGCTGACCATGGTTTTCTAGTAACACGAAAAAAAGTAACTACGCCACTTTATAAAAAAAAACAAAAAAAAAAACACACACACACAGCTTAACCGGGGAAAATACTACATGTACTGTAGAAAATAAAGACATGCATGCAGGGAAAAAAATGAGTCAGTTAACACGGCCGTTTAATAAACGCGTTCACGTATGTTTTGACTTCTTTCCGTTAGCTTATCTTGAGTACAACAAATACCGTTAGCTTAACTGTTCCTTTTTACGGCTGAAAGTTAACCTAACGATCACGATTGTTCTTATAACCAAGCACACAGACTTACCTGTTGTTGTATCCCGAATATCCACCTCAAAAAACACAAAGGTCTGGTCCTTTTTGTGAGCAGAAACAATTAAAAGCTAAAAATCGGTCGCTCGAGCTAGCTAACTTCCTTTAGCACTGACAAGCTACATACAAAAGGAAACAAAGAAACATGCCGTTAAACTTCCTTTCAGATTTTGCATCGCAAAAGTATTTAAATTACACAAAACAACTCGCACTACGATTCTTTTTTGCTACTTAGACGTGTACGAAAATAGGAACCATTCCAAAATTTGCTTTCATACTTTGTGGCAACTAGGCCCCAAAACAAGTAGGTTGCCCGCGAGAATGACGCAAGTTTGATTTTACTCAGGCATCCTTGTGGATGCCTGGGGTCCTGAGCTACGACGTGATAGGTCAGGATTTGGTTGCAGTAAGTCTCCTTCAGCTCGCCCTCCAACCGGTGACGCCTTCCTCGGTTTTGCGTTGTGAGGAATATTTGTAATAAAAACCACTTTCCTACGCCGCTAGCATCATCTTCCACTGGTAAGAGACTCCTTAATTTAGGCTTACGATGTTATTCTTCTTCACAGCACGGATTAATCAGTTGTGAAGCGCTTGACACACACCGGCACTCTGCAGGCTAGCAAAGTTAGCTGCTAGCTTTAGCTGCGCCTGACACATGTCGCGTGGAATACTGGCCAGCTTTGCTGTTATGCGCTTAATGCTGGTAAAATGTAAGATGTGTGGCTTAAAAGCACTTTAGGAAAACATTCACAACTTTAACATTAGCTATGCTTTGGTTATTCACTACGTAGAATGGTTGGTTATCCATGCTACTAGAGGACTCCTTGTGCGAACGATCATTTTAAGTAACACATCTCCCTAATAGGAACAGGCATGTACCTTGCCACGCCTAGCTGTGACTGTCAGTTAATGCGGAGGAGTAGTTTAATTAGAGCCAGGCCCGAGCGAAGTTCCCAAGTGCCTCAAAATGGCTCCTAACTTCATAACCTTGCCTGTCGCCTGTCACACAGTTAAGTCTACCTGACGCAATTATGTTAACCGAAAAGTGAAACTAACGTAGTGATTGTGAAAGAGATTTGACAATGCTGAATACTGATACCTGCCTCTTATCAGCCAGACAGGCTGCTTTCACCATAGAGTTGTAGACTGTATTCTGACGAGTACAGTAGTACAAGTTTGACTTTGCTGCAGTGTACATTGCTCATCAGGTCATCAGCGGGATGGTGAAATGGTTATAACTCCTCAATAATGCAAGGCTTAGTTTTCATTACAGATGTCAAAACTTTAGAAAGAGTAGATGATTATGCCGAAGATGTCCTCCAGACTCTTGACAGTATTTCACACTTCGATGGGATAAAATGTGAAAGCAACATCTACCTATTATATTCATGTACAGTTTCCATTCGCATCATAAACAGACACAAGTACAGCTACCCACTGTGACCACTTGTGAAAAAGCAAGCAGAAAGGAGCTTCTTTTATTAAAAATTAAGATACTTTTACCACAGTATTTTAATTCTGTCCACAGATACAATGGCTGTGCCTCCTTCATATGCTGACCTGGGCAAGTCTGCCAAGGACATCTTCAACAAAGGCTATGGTATGATTTGATTTGATTTTTTAAGGTTTGGCCAATCTGTTAAAATTGTAGGAAAGCTTTAAAATAATTTGAAAAAAAAAATCAATGTGTCTTTCCTTAAGGATTTGGCCAGGTGAAGCTTGATGTCAAGACAAAGTCAGCCAGCGGAGTGGTAAGATTTCTTTCGTCATTTTATTTGTGAGGCAAAAACTGCAATAAGAGCGCAGCCTTATGGTAATTTGATGCCAAAGCAATTTGTCCTTATGCTTGTTGTTGGCATTTTTTTTAAAAAATTGCCTCTTACAGGAATTCAAAACATCTGGTTCCTCCAACACTGATACCAGCAAAGTCGTGGGAAGTCTGGAAACTAAATACAAGCGGTCAGAATATGGCCTGACCTTCACTGAGAAGTGGAATACCGACAACACCTTGGGAACAGAAATCACTGTTGAAGATCAGGTTAGGAATGTATTCATTTGCTGTTATTTAACAACATGTCACAGAAAAGCATATATATATATATATATA